AGTCAATTAATCAGATTCTGTTGTACAGTCACAGACTTGTAAAAAAACAAAATAATACTATTTCTAACATAACATGGGGACGCGGGTGGCGCTGTGGGTAAAAGCCTCAGCGCCTAGGGCTTGCCGATCAAAAGGTCGGCGGTTCGAATCCCCGCGGCGGGGTGCGCTCCCGTCGTTCGGTCCCAGCGCCTGCCAACCTAGCAGTTCGAAAGCACCCCCGGGTGCAAGTAGATAAATAGGGACCGCTTACTAGCGGGAAGGTAAACGGCGTTTCCGTGTGCAGCTCTGGCTCGCCAGAGCAGCGATGTCACGCTGGCCACGTGACCCGGAAGTGTCTCCGGACAGCGCTGGCCCCCGGTCTCTTGAGTGAGATGGGCGCACAACCCTAGAGTCTGTCCAGACTGGCCCGTACGGGCAGGGGTACCTTTACCTTTACCTTTAACATAACATGAGTTAAAATATATAGTACATATATAAAATAAGAAAGTGAAAAACAACCAAAACTGCACTTAAACAGACAAATCCTTTTATGAATCTTTGCAGCAGAAAAGATAAATTTAGCAAAAGTTTCCATTGCTGTTTTTGCATTGATTTGCCAATAAGCAAGTCAGCCCTTCCTGGGTGTTTTAGTAAGACAGAAGTAAATAATCACTTATACATACAGAAATAATACATAGGGCTTCTCTTGCTCATCCCACAAGGGCAAAAAAAGTAAAAGGGGAAGAAGTGTGGGTTATAAATTTGAAATAATTTGGTGGCTCTAATGGTGTTGCTCTTATTTATGGCTCTAAATGTGCATTTATATGCTGTGTTCGAGGGCATCCAGGTAGTTTACAACCAAAATACTATATATGTGTGTGTGTGTGTGTGTGTGTGTGTGTGTGTGTGTGTGTGGAAAATGATATCTCTTAGGCGTTCCTTGGAATAGACTCCTCCTCTTGTAATATAAACCAATTTATAAACCATTTTCCTGCTTATATTTTGGGTTGGCTATAAGATTGCAGCTCTGGTTGTGTTTTCCAGCATAAGGCCGGCCCTATCATTGGAGTGTGGGATGGCTGCCTCAGGCAGTTAATTCAGAGAGTGACAGGGAGAGGTGCTTGTGAGATATTCTGCCTCAGGTGCCTTGGTTTGAAGAGGGAAATGTCATGTCAGGCAGCACTATGTCTTGTGTTGGCCCTGCTCCTGCACAAACCTTGAAGTGGTCAAGAGCTGAGCAAGAGCACACTCAAGGAAGTTTGTGTAGGAAAAGTTACCAATGGATTGTGCCCATAAGCCAGATCCACCTGCATTCTGTTAGGCAGCCAAAATGTGCCATCCTTCAGATGCTACTTCTTGAACTGCTGCACACAATGACAAACTCTTTCACCTGCTTCGCAATTCTTAATGAGAAGGCATTTCCAAATGAATCAGCAGCAGTTAAAATCATATATAAGCAAACTCATTTCAGCAGGTTGGAATAGCCAATCCTTTAAGGCAGTGGTTTTCAAACAGTGTACCGTGGCAGCTTTGAATGATGGTCAGAGGTGCCATGGGCAACACTGCCCTCTTTCTTTCTTTCTTTCTTTCTTTCTTTCTTTCTTTCTTTCTTTCTTTCTTTCCCTCCCTCCTCTGATGTCCTCTCACGTCTCCCTCCCAAAGGCTTGCACAGCTGTTTGTTGCAGCAACCCTGGCTATAAGCTCTGCAGGTGAATGGTGCCTCTAGGAGGCCCCTCTCTTTGGGGTGGGGAGGGCAGACCCGCTGAAAGAGGTGGTCATTAAACCGCTTCTTAAAAAAACATCTTTAGACCCAGCCATTATGGCCAACTATCGCCCAGTCTCAAATCTTCCATTCTTGGACAAGGTGATTGAGCGGGTGGTTGCTGAACAACTGCAAGCACACCTGGAGGATGCGGACCATTTGGATCCCTTCCAATCGGAATTCAGGCCTCACCATGGGACTGAAACTGCCTTGGTCTCGCTGGTCGATGATCTCCGGCGGGCTAGGGACAAAGGTGAGAGCTGTTTCCTAGTTCTGCTGGATCTCTCAGTGGCCTTTGACACCATCAACCATAACATCCTTCTGGACCGTCTAGAGGGGCTGGGAACTGGGGGCACTGTTATACAGTGGTTCCGCTCCTTTCTCCTGGGCCGTGTCCAGAAAGTGGTGTTGGGGGATGAGTGTTCAGACCCCTGGGCTCTCACTTGTGGGGTGCCTCAGGGTTCCGTCCTCTCCCCCATGCTTTTTAATATCTATATGAAGCCGCTGGGAGAGATCATCAGGGGGTTTGGGCTGGTGTTCATCAGTATGCAGATGATACCCAGCTCTACCACTCTTTTAAATCAGAACCAGTGAAGGCGGTGAAGGTCCTGTGTGAGTGCCTGGAGGCGGTTGGAGGATGGATGGCAGCTAACAGATTGAGGTTGAATCCTGACAAGACAGAAGTACTGTTTTGGGGGGACAGGGGGCGGGCGGGGGGGGGACTCCCTGGTTCTGAATGGGGTAACTGTGCCCCTGAAGGACCAGGTGCGCAGCCTGGGAGTCATTTTGGACTCACAGCTGTCCATGGAGGCGCAGGTTAATTCTGTGTCCAGGGTGGCTGTCTACCAGCTCCATCTGGTACGCAGGCTGAGACCCTACCTGCCTGCAGACTGTCTTGCCAGAGTGGTGCATGCTCTAGTTATCTCCCGCTTGGACTACTGCAATGCGCTCTACATGGGGCTACCTTTGAAGGTGACACAGAAACTACCGTTAATCCAGAATGCAGCAGCTAGACTGGTGACTGGGAGTGGCCGCTGGGACCACATAACACTGGTCCTGAGAGATCTGCATTGACTCCCAGTACGTTTCTGAGCACAATTCAAAGTGTTGGTTGTTGTTATTTAGTCGTTTAGTCGTGTCCAACTCTTCAGGACCCCATGACCAGAGCACACCAGGCAATTCTGTCTTCCACTGTCTCCTACAGTTTGGTCAAACTCATGCTGGTAGCTTCACGAACACTATCCAACCATCTCGTCCTCTGTCATCCCCTTCTCCTTGTGCCCTCCATCTTTCCCAACATCAAGGTAAAGTCCAGGGAGTCTTCTCTTCTCATGAGGTGGCCAAAATATTGGAGCCTCAGCTTCACGATCTGTCTTTCCAGTGAGCACTCAGGGCTGATTTCCTTAAGAATGGAGAGGTTTGATCTTCTTGCAGTCCATGGGACTCTCAAGAGTCTCCTCCAGCACCATAGTTCAAAAGCATCAATTCTTCGGCGATCAGCCTTCTTTATGGTCAAGCTTTCACTTCCATACATCACTACTGGGAAAACCATAGCTTTAACTATACAGACCTTTGTGGGCAAGGTGATGTCTCTACTTTTTAAGATGCTGTCTACGTTTGTCATTGCTTTTCTCCTAAGAAGCAGGCGTCGTTTAATTTTGTGGCTGCTGTCACCATCTGCAGTGATCATGGAGCCCAAGAAAGTAAAATCTCTCACTGCCTCCATTTCTTCCCCTTCTATTTGCCAGGAGGTGATGGGACCAGTTGCCATGATCTTCGTTTTTTTGATGTTGAGCTTCAGACCATATTTTGCGCTCTCCTCTTTTACCCTCATTAAAAGGTTCTTTAATTCCTCCTCACTTTCTGCCATCAAGGTTGTGTCATCTGCATATCTGAGGTTGTTGATATTTCTTCCGGCAATCTTAATTCCGGCTTCGGATTCATCCAGCCCAGCCTTTCGCATGATGAATTCTGCATATAAGCAGGGAGACAATATACAGCCTTGTCGTACTCCTTTCCCAATTTTGAACCAATCAGTTGTTCCATATCCAGTTCTAACTGTAGCTTCTTGTCCCACATAGAGATTTCTCAGGAGACAGATGAGGTGATCAGGCACTCCCATTTCTTTAAGAACTTGCCATAGTTTGCTGTGATCGACACAGTCAAAGGCTTTTGCACAGTCAATGAAGCAGAAGTAGATGTCTTTCTGGAACTCTCTAGTTTTCTCCATAATCCAGCGCATGCTTGCAATTTGGTCTCTGGTTCCTCTGCCTCTTCTAAATCCAGCTTGCACTTCTGGGAGTTCTCGGTCCACATACTGCTTGAGCCTTCCTTGTAGAATTTTAAGCTTAACCTTGCTTAAAGTGTTGGTGCTGACCTTTAAAGCCCCAAACGGCCTCGGTCCTGTATACCTGAAGGAGCGTCTCCACCCGCATCGTTCAGCCCAGACACTGAGATCCAGCACCGAGGGCCTTCTGGCGGTTCCCTCATTGCAAGAGGTGAGGTTACAGGGAACCAGACAGAGGGCCTTCTCGGTAGTGGCGCCCGCCCTGTGGAATGTCCTCCCCTCAGATGTGAAGGAAATAAGCAGCTATCTTCTCTTTAAAAGACATCTGAAGGCAGCCCTGTTTAGGGAAGTTTTTAATATTTAATGCTGTATTGTTTTTAACACTTGATTTGAAGCCGCCCAGAGTGGCTGGGGAAACTCATCCAGATGGGCGGGGTATAAATAATAAATTATTATTCTTATTATTATTGAAAAGGGGTGAGGGGCTACCGGCTCTGCAGGCAAGAGGGGGGGGGACATAACTGGGCTCCATTGGGAAGCTGCAGAAAGAATGTAGTTGGTCAAGGGAGCCGGGGACTCAAAAAGGTTGAAAACCTCTGCTTTAAGGTCATTTTAGAAACAGCACATCCCAGTTAAGGAAATTCCACAGGTCACCACTAAAAAGACCCTGTCCTTTGTGGCTTCTGGAATGATATTATTTGAATAGTGGACACTTACGGTAAGTGGGGCCTCTTCTGACCAGTCTTGGAGCCCAGGAATGTTCACACAGCGCTCTGTCAAATAATGATGTCATTCTTGGTACACACAGACTGCATGGCAGCAGCACTGACCAGCATGGGTTTTGTCACTCAACTGAGTCATGAGATGTAGAGATCTCTGTAGCAAGAATAAGGAAGGGTGGTGGGACATTGTACAGGGCACCTATGCTTGCAAAAGGCCTGGTTCACATCTCTGTGTATCTGTGCTTCACAGGGTGATGCTAGAAGGAGCCCGGAATGCCTTATGTGGATCGTCAGAACCGAATCTGTGGGTTCCTGGACATTGAGGACAATGAGTCCTGTGGGAAGTTCCTGCGAAGATATTTCATCCTGGATACCCAGGCCAATAGCCTTCTGTGGTACATGGACAATCCCCAGGTAATGCCTGTCCTCAGAAGTAGACACCAGTGGCCCACCTGAAAGCAGCAGCCTTTCTGTGACATTCTTCAGGTCCTTTGTAGAGTCCCCCCTCCCCCAGTCCTGTTAGATTTATATAGAAATCATGTGATAAAAAGAAGAAGCACATTCCAGAGTCTCAGTGCCCCATTTGGTAAAACAATGAGATGGATGTTGAGGTGCTACTTCTTTATCACTGAGACTCAATGTTAATTGTATGAAAGCAGTTGATGTGCATGTTTAAGGATTTAAATACTGACCATTGGGTCTGGAATGTGTGCAGCATGCAAAAGCTGTTGTTTGCTCCTGAAGAGAAGCTCCCATTAGATCTTCATAGCATCCTACAATCCTAGATCTTGTTTGAAGGGTGGCAGCTGCAGTGACCTGTGTGTATTTATTGCTTTAGCACTATCCTGTCTAAATCCAGCAGTAAGGCCAGCACTAATAGCTGGAACACATGGAAGGCTGGGAAAGAGGAGTGACCTTTATTCCCACTCCCAGAATTTCCTCCTCTTGGGGGACAGATGAGGGAGCCACCTGTGCGCAGTCAAGGGTGCTGTGTGCTTACCCAAAGCACCATTTCCTTGGAATGAAGGACAGTGGGAATTGGGATATAGGGCCAAACTCTTGCATTCCTGTCTTCACGCTTTTTATGATGGAGGACCGCTGTAGTCACCCCCAACGACATGTTCTCAAGATGGAGGGTGAGGGAACAGCTGCAGTCGCCTGCGATTCCTGCGCAATGTTTGCCATCTTGCCAAAGGTTGCAGGCAGCTTTACTTGCAGCAATTGCATGTTGATTGCCCTCTTACAAGACAAAGTCCAGCAACTGGAGGAACGTGTAGCTACGCTCCAAAGAATTAGAGAGCTGGAGCTCTTCTTGGAAGCAACAGAGCACACCGTCTTCACCAAGGAGGAGACAGGGGACTCCCCTGAGAAGGAGGCTAGTTCACCAACACAGGAGCCAGATATATGGAGAAACGTGACTCAAAGAAGTAGGAGGCCCAGGGTTCGCTCTGATTGTTTAGAAATACACAATCGCTTTGAGGTCCTCTCCCCTAGCATGGAAGACGAAGAGCAGACTCCATTTGAGAATCTCTCCCTCATTACAGTCGATCAGGTATATGAAGATGAGCAGCAAAGTCAGTCCTCAGGGAATGTGCAGGCGACCTTCGAACGGACAGCTCACGCAAGAACCCCGACCAGACCTAAGAGGAGGCGTGTAGTGGTGATAGGGGATTCCCTACTGAGGGGAACAGAAGCAGTGATCTGTGGGCCTGACAAGATGTCTCGGGAAGTGTGCTGTCTCCCCGGGGCTAAGATCCAAGATGTAACTGAACGACTGCAAGGAATCATAAAACCCACTGACAAATACCCCTTCCTCTTGGTTCATGTGGGAACCAATGACACTGCAAGCAATAGCCTCCAGAGGATCAAAAGAGACTACGAGGCTCTGAGCAGGAAATTGAAGCAATTAAATGCACAAATTGTCATCTCATCTGTCCTCCCAGTTGAACGACGTGGCCCAGGGAGAGAGGGAAAAATAGTGGAAGTGAACAACTGGCTTCGCAAATGGTGTAAACAGGAACGGTTTGGATTCTTAGATCACGGGCTGCAGTTTCTTAAAGATGGACTTCTGGCAAGCGATGGGCTGCACCTCACAACGGTTGGGAGGAATGTTTTTGCCAAAAATCTCAGAAACCTCATCAGGAGGGCTTTAAACTGACTAATGTGGGGGAGGGAGACAGTGCTCCTGAAGGTAGGAGTCTATCAATTGATGAAGATGATCATCCAAATGTCATAGACCAAATGGAGCAAACAGCACACAGACCTAGTGGTGGGAGTAAAAAATCCTTAAATAAGAGACACGGGGGAATGATTAATGGACTTCAATGTCTGTACACTAATGCGCAAAGCATGGGAAATAAACAAGATGAGCTTGAGCTCTTGGTACAGCAAAATATATATGACATAATAGGCATCACTGAAACCTGGTGGGATAAGTCCCACGATTGGAATGTAATAATGGAGGGATACAATCTATTTCAGAGAAACAGACCAGACAAGAAAGGAGGAGGAGTGGCGTAATATGTCAGGGATGTGTATACCTGTGAAGAGATCCAAGATTTAGAACCTCAAAGCCAAAGTGAGAGCATTTGGGTCAAAATTAAGGGAGAGAAGAATAACAGTGACCTCATTGTGGGAGTTTACTCTAGATCCCCAAGCCAAACAGAGGACATAGATGATGCCTTCCTGGAACAGATGGCCAAGCATGCAAAAGGAAGGGAGATAGTAGTAATGGGGGACTTCAATTACCCGGATATTTGTTGGATGTCAAACTCAGCCAAGAGCATAAAGTCAAACAGATTCCTCACTGGACTTGCAGACAACTTCATTGTCCAGAAAGTGGGAGAAGCAACAAGAGGAACAGCCATTTTAGATCTGGTCCTAACCAATGTTGAGGACCTGGTTAGTGGGGTAGAAGTGGAAGGATCATTAGGCGCGAGTGATCATGCTCTTCTGAAGTTTACTATACAGCGGAAAGGAGCAGCCAAGCATACTAGGACTCAATTTCTCGACTTTAAGAAAGCCGACTTCATAAACTTAGGGAAGTGCTGGGTGAGATCCCATGGACAGTAATACTAAAAGGAAAGGGAGTTCATGATGGCTGGGAGTTTGTTAAGAGGGAGATAGTAAAAGCACAACTTCAGGCAATACCAATGAGACGGAAACATGGAAGGTGCCTAAAGAAGCCAGGGTGGCTATCTAAAGAACTTTTAACTGAGTTAAGATTAAAAAAGGATGTGTACAAAAAATGGAAAAGGGGGGAAACCACCAAAGAGGAATTCAAACAAATAGCCAGCACGTGTAGACACAAAGTCAGAAAAGCTAAAGCACAGAATGAACTCAGGCTTGCTAGAGAGGTTAAAAGCAAGAAAAAAGGCTTTTATGGGTATGTTCGTAGCAAAAGGAAGAACAAAGAAACAGTGGGGTCACTCAGAGGAGAAGATGGTGAAATGCAAACAGGGGACACAGAAAGGGCTGAACTCCTCAATGCCTTCTTTGCCTCAGTCTTCTCCGATAAAGAAAACAATGCCCGACCTGAAGAATTTGGAGCAAATGATTCAGCAGAGGAAACAGAGCCCAGAATAACTAAGGAGATAGTACAAGAATACTTGGCTAGTTTAGATGTATTCAAGTCTCCAGGGCCAGATGAACTGCATCCAAGAGTATTAAAAGAACTGGCAGATGTGATCTCAGAACCACTGGCAGTCATCTTTGAGAATTCCTGGAGAACAGGCGAAGTCCCAGCAGACTGGAGGAGGGCAAATGTTGTACCTATTTTCAAAAAGGGGAAAAGAGAGGACCCAAATAATTACCGCCCAGTCAGTCTGACATCAATACCAGGGAAGATTCTGGAGCAGATCATTAAGCAAACAGTCTGTGAGCACCTAGAAAGGAATGCTGTGATCACCAATAGTCAGCATGGATTTCTGAAAAATAAGTCATGTCAGACTAACCTGATCTCGTTTTTTGACAGAATTACAACCCTGGTAGATGAAGGGAACGCAGTGGATGTAGCCTACCTTGACTTCAGCAAGGCATTTGACAAGGTGCCCCATGATATTCTTGTAAAGAAGCTGGTAAAATGCGGACTTGACTATGCTACCACTCAGTGGATTTGTAACTGGCTGACTGACCGAACCCAAGGGGTGCTCATCAATGGTTCCTCTTCATCCTGGAGAAGAGTGACTAGTGGGGTGCCACAGGGTTCTGTCTTGGGCCCGGTCTTATTCAACATCTTTATCAACGACTTGGATGATGGACTCAAGGGCATCCTGATCAAATTTGCAGATGACACCAAACTGGGAGGGGTGGCTAACACCCCAGAGGACAGGATCACACTTCAAAACGACCTTGACAGATTAGAGAACTGGGCCAAAACAAACAAGATGAATTTTAACAGGGAGAAATGTAAAGTATTGCACTTGGGCAAAAAAATGAGAGGCACAAATACAAGATGGGTGACACCTGGCTTGAGAGCAGTACATGTGAAAAGGATCTAGGAGTCTTGGTTGACCACAAACTTGACATGAGCCAACAGTGTGACGCGGCAACTAAAAAAGCCAATGCAATTCTGGGCTGCATCAATAGGAGTATAGCATCTAGATCAAGGGAAGTAATAGTGCCACTGTATTCTGCTCTGGTCAGACCTCACCTGGAGTACTGTGTCCAGTTCTGGGCACCACAGTTCAAGAAGGACACTGACAAACTGGAACGTGTCCAGAAGAGGGCAACCAAAATGGTCAAAGGCCTGGAAACGATGCCTTATGAGGAACGGCTAAGGGAGCTGGGCATGTTTAGCCTGGAGAAGAGGAGGTTAAGGGGTGATATGATAGCCATGTTCAAATATATAAAACGATGTCACATAGAGGAGGGAGAAAGGTTGTTTTCTGCTGCTCCAGAGAAGCGGACACGGAGCAATGGATCCAAACTACAAGAAAGAAGATTCCACCTAAACATTAGGAAGAACTTCCTGACAGTAAGAGCTGTTCGACAGTGGAATTTGCTGCCAAGGAGTGTGGTGGAGTCTCCTTCTTTGGAGGTCTTTAAGCAGAGGCTTGACAACCATATGTCAGGAGTGCTCTGATGGTGTTTCCTGCTTGGCAGGGGGTTGGACTCGATGGCCCTTGTGGTCTCTTCCAACTCTATGATTCTATGATTCTATGCATCCAACTCTCCTAGACACTGCGCCTGGCCTGTTGTTTCCCATCCATATAATGTTGTGGCATCCTGTCAAGTGAGGTGGGAAAAGGCCCATCCATTTGTATCTATGGCAACAGGGCAACCACTTTGGATATGGTAAATAGCGTACTGAAGTGGCCAGCCAAAGTCATTGCCTTGACAAAGGAACCAATTTGGGTGGTTCAGTAACCTCTTCCACTAAGTTCTAAGCAGCCTTGGGAAGGGCCCAAGATATAATCCTTCCCCACAAACTTGTGACTGTATAGATCTCTGAACTATATTTAAGTCAGGTTGCTGTGGCCCTTGCAGTACAGCAGGATGAGCACCACCAGTGGAGGTGAGCTGTTAGATGTTTTCTCCCATTAATTTCCATGAATGGTCAGGGACGGTGGGACAATAGTAGTCCAACATGTCTGGAGGGCACCAGGTTGGACAAAGCTGTTCTGCACATTCTTGATTCACATGTAAAGTGGGCGCCAGATAAAGACCTACCTCTTTTGCCCAGGATTTTGTGGGGTAGTAATCTCCATGGGATGTTTGACTGCTGCTACCGTGATGGCCTATGGGTGATCTTCTATCCTCACCCACTCTTGGTTCTGCTGAACTTGGTTGTATTTTAATGTTATGGAAATTGTTTTATGTTTTTTATTGTCCTACAACCTGCCCTGGGATCACACGATGAGGGGTGGGTAAATTAATATTACTGACAATGGAGCTTAAGCTGCTCATGAGATGTGATCCTGGCACCTGGTAGCCTCAGGCTGCTTGGCTCTTATTGGAGTGATGCTGCAGGTCTCCCCTCTTTCTGGTTCTGCCAGTTATGTGGGCAAATTTCTATTGTGGGCATGTGTTGAGAAGGTGGGTTGGACTCGATGATGTTTCAGATAATTTCCAGTGTGAGGCTAAGAACTTAAGAGTATAGGAAGAGCCTGCTGCATCTGGCCAATGGCTCATCCCGTCTACCCTCCTGTTCTCAAAGTGGCTGACCAGATGCCTGTGAAAAATCCACAAACAGGATTTGAGCACAAGATCCCTCTCCCTCCTGTGCTTTCCAGCAACTAGAATTCAGAAGCATTGCAAAACAGAGCTCCATGAATTTGTCTAATCCTCTTTTAAAGCCATGCAAGTTGATGTCCATCACTGTATCCTTTGGGAGCAAGTTCCATCGTTTAACCATGTGCTATGCAAAGGACTTTCTTTTTTCTGTCCAGAATTGTCTAATGTTCAGCTTCATTGGAAGTCCATGTGTTCTAGTTTTATGAGCATGTCCCCATTGCAGCAGGTCCTGGTGGCTCCCTTTTGCAGTGTGGGCCCCTGGCAGATGCCTGACCATGCCACCCCTTAATGCCAGCCCTGCTGTCCATTGCTATAGCTGCAAAGAGGGTCCTATGCTAGAGCAGTTGCTTGGGCAGCAGGGAGATGTTTCTCTGTTGATGGGGGGGGGGGGCAGAAAGCCAGGCTTCTCATATTTATAGCAGGGCTGGCCAATCCAAAGGCTCAGTTCGAGCTGTCAGTCAGCATAGTTGATGTTTTCCACCTCTGCTCCTTTCCGTTCTCCTAAGGCCACAGCACTCACCTTCTATGGTAACTCAGACCCAGCTCCTGTCTCACACTCCAGAACACCAGACAGAACCCTGCAAACAGGATCTCAAGTCTGGATGTTGCCACCAGACATCAAAATAGACACTCACACACACCAGCTCTTGTGAAGCTCAGCTTCATGAGCTCAAAGAGGAAATCTGACCCAGCGGTTTGCTGTGACTCATATCATGCCTTGAACTGTCTGAGCATCTTTGCAAGGAAGCCACAACAAAAAGTCTTGTCTGGGAAACCCCCCTGGACAACTGGACTTTGCAAGCTGAGAACTGAACAAAGTCAGTTTAGAAGCTGGTATGGGATCTGCACCCCTTCCTTTGCACTCATCCATTTGAAGTAACTACCACAGATTTTATTCAGTATCTACCCATTTAGTATTTTAAAAGGAATAGTAGAACAAGGGCTCAGTGTGCCAGTGTGCCACACGTGGGCAGAAGATTTAGACAAGAACAGTTGTCTATGAACAGTTGATGGGATTGTCCTCATGGGCTCTGTTCAGCCATGAAACATAATGTGTGATGCTTGGCCAGGTATTTTCCCTTGGCCTGATGCTCAGCAAATTTACAGATGACACCAAACTGGGAGGGGTAGCTAATGCTGCAAAAGACAGAATCAGAATTCAAAATGACATTAACAGATTGGAGAACTGGGCCCAGGCTAATAAAAATAGTTTCAATAGGGACAAATGTAAGGTTCTGCACTTAGGCAGGAAGAACCAGGTGCACAAATACAGGTGAAACTCGGAAAATTAGAATATCATGGAAAAGTTCATTTATTTCAGTAATTCAACTTAAAAGGTGAAACTAATATATGAGATAGACTCATGACATGCAAAGCGAGATATGTCAAGCCTTTATTTGTTATAATTGTGATGATCATGGCTTACAGCTGATGAAAACCCCAAATTAACAATCTCAGAAAATTAGAATGTTAAATGAAATCATCAAAACAAGGATTGCAAATAGAGCAATATTGGACCTCTGAGAAGTAGAAGCATGCATATGTACTCAGTACTTGGTGTGGGCCCCTTTTCCATCATTTACTCCCTCAATGCGGCATGGCATGGATGTGATCAGCCTGTGGGACTGCTGAGGTGTTACGGAAGACCAGGATGCTTCAATAGCAGCCTTCAGCTCTTCTGCATTGCTCGGTCTCATGTCTCTCATTTTTCTCTTGGCAATGCCCCATAGATTCTCTATGGGGTTCAGGTCAGGTGAGTTTGCTGGCCAATCAAGCACAGTAATCCCATGGGTATTGAACCAGGTTTTGGTACTTTTGGCAGTGTGGGCACGTGCCAAAGTCCTGCTGGAAAATGAAGTCAGCATCCCCATAAAGCTTGTCTGTGCTCCAAAATCTCCTGGTAGATGGCTGCATTGACCCTGGACTTGAAGCACAGTGGACCAACACCAGCTGATGACATGGCTCCCCAAATCAACACAGACTGTGGAAACTTTACACTGGACTTCAAGCATCTGGCATTATGTGCCTCCTCATTGTTCCTCCAGACTCTGGGTCCTTGGTTTCCAAATGAGATGCAAAAGCTGCTCTCATCAGAAAAGAGATTTGGGCAGCCATGCTCCAGGGCAGGCAGGCAGTGGGCCAGATCCTCCACAGCTGCCTTCTCCAACATGGTGCCTTCCAGTTGTCTCCATCTCTCATCAGCCCCAGCCAGCATGGCCAGGGGTTAGGGGTTTAGAGGACGCTAGGCTGCTTGAAGAAGGCTGCTCCAGTCGCTCAATTTTAGCATCCTTGCCATTGGTCATCACTAATTCTAAATAAGCAATCTGAGAGTTTGGTTGTTCATTGCCACTTGACTGATTGACTTTTTAACCCATTTCAGAACTTGGCTGTGGGGGCCAAAGCAGTGGGATCTTTGCAGCTGACCTACATCTCGAAGGTAAGAACAAGGTGGAGATACGATTGGGGGGAACCTGGCAGAGCCTGTTGCTCTTCTCCACTCTTCTAGCCCTCAAGGTTTTGTTGCTATTGTTTTAAGCCCACCAGTTCTGTGCTTATAACTATGGGTGCACTTACTCTTATAACCATTTGAGCTTGTGACAGCATAGGCAAAATCTGAGTTTGGTTGGATGGGCTGTTTTCAGATCCCTGGTCAAGGATGGCACCATTCCTGCATTCTTTATATTGGTTTGCATGCCCCAGTGCTGCTGAGTAGGCATTCAGCTGCAATAGCAACGTATCCATAGCTGGACACAAAATGCCACCACTTCCACTGGGGACAAACCTGTTTCTCATTGCCCAGCATAACCCAGTGATTCACAAACCTTCAGTTGAGGAAAGTATAATTTCTCAGGGGAAAGAGGAAGCCTTTGCCTAATGTGGAGGAAGAAGGCAGAACTATGATGCTGCTGCTGGGGCAGAGAGCAACCCAGGGGTCAGGGGGCCAATTGCAAAGTGTGCCATTTCTAAAAGGTTAGCTTTACCCACTTATTAACAGCCAAGTTTCTAGTCCACGGGTGGGGGCAATTGTGACCCTCCAACTGTTGTTGTAGCCTAACTCTCCACAGCCCCTGCCAGCATGGCCGGTGCTCAGGGATTATGGCAGTTGTTGCCCTACATCAGGAGGGGCGCAGTCTTCCCCATTCATTCCTATTCTGGTCCTTTGGCTGCAGAGCCGTGTGTTGCTGTCAGTGAAGGCTCACTTAAGTACAGGGCCGTCTTAAGTATATCCGGCGTCATGCTGCAAAGATCCCTCCGGCAGCCACCCCCACTCCCCACCCCCGTTTCCCAGAGTTGCCAACCTTTTTACGGCGCTGCTAGCAGCTTTGTGGGGCTGGAGGAGGCGGGCAGCGGCTGCAGGGTGGCTCCTCCGGCAGGGAAGAGGCGAAGGCTCCGGGTGTGCTGCTGCTTCAGCAAGGCGGGTGAGGGCGGCAAGCGGATGCTGGGAGGTGCCGCGCCCATCCTCTGCCTCTTCCCTGGCACCCTCCAGAACTTGGCACCCTGGCGCCCCACGCCACTTGCCTCTATGGGCAAGATGCCCCTGGTTAAGTATCCTGGACCTGTGGCAAAGGCTGCCTCTTGCCTGGATGGGGGATGCAGAGGAACCTCTGTTTTTGATATGGCTGGAATGTAGCCTGCTATGCAAAGGAAAGAGTCACAGCTGTTGACCCACCCAGTTTTGCCTCTGGCCATACCCACCATCAGCATTCAGCCACCAAAGATTTGTCTGCAAGGGAATGTGGCCCTTGGCCTTGCAAAAGATTTCCCCTCCTTTAAATGCTGCATGGTAGGAAAGGCTTCACCTGCTCAATCCTGCCTGTCTTAACTGTGCTGAGAAAGGTTTAGGATGCTGAATGTTTGCCTGCTATGCTAAAGGCACCCTGGAAAAAACCTTTGCAACTTACCCAATAGCTAGGACAAAATTACTCAGGGCTGCGTCATCAGCCGTCTCACCTCCCTTTTTCCTTGCAGGTCAGTGTGGCTCCCCCCAAACAAAAGCCAAAAACACCCCTCTGCTTTGGTAAGTAGAAGGCATTCCAGGGAAGTGGGGAAGGGAAAGGGCTGGTTCACACATGCATGTAAGTCTTCAAAGCACAGTACACTTGAAAACAAGCAGCTGCACTTGCAACACTTAAAGTTACCTGTGGCTTTTTAACCTGTATGACTTATGTTTATGTACACAAGTCATCACTCAATGTCACTTTCAGCCATCAATTAGGGGACGCTGATGCATAAGTTGTCCATCAAAGAGAAGATGGACACCAGTGATTCTGTAATATGGCTATTTAGTTCAAGTCTCCCCAAAAGGGCTCTAATTTCATTTCGTGGTTGCAGAGGAAAGCTAACACTATGCCAGTTAGATGGCGTGGGCTGAATGTTGGGCTGCATTCAGACTTTTGTCACTTCCTGTTTTCATCAAAGCATAATTTGCCATTACATTTGAACCAGCAATCCATGGTTAAGTTTACCTCCAAAACATAACTTAATGATTTAAGCCCAGTATACCCAAAGGAGCGTCTCCATCCCCATCATTCAGCCTGGACACTGAGGTCCAGCTCCATGGGCCTTCTGTTGGTTCCCTCGCTGTAAGAAGTGAGCTTACGGGGAACCAGGCAGAGAGGCTTCTTGGTAGCAGCGCCCGCCCTGTGGAACGCCCTCCCATCAGATGTCAAGGAAATAAACAACTGACTTTTAGAAGACATCTGAAGGCAGCCCTGTTTGGGGAAGTTTTTAATGTTTGATTCTATTTTTAATATTCTGTTGGGAGCCTCCCAGAGTGGCTGGGGAAACACAGCCAGATGGGCGGGGTATATATAACTTGTTGTTGTTGTTGTTGTGCATGAAATGTAAGGGGGGAGGCAGGAGAACAGAGCTCATCCTTTGTCAACCTGCTGCCCTCCAGATGTGTTGTAACACAACCCCCATCAGTCCCAGCTGGCATGTGCTGGCTGAGGCTGATAGGAGTTGTAGTCCATAACATCTGGAAGGCACCAGGTTAGTGAAGGATGCTTCAGACCATAGTTTATATTTCAAGGAGTGCCTTAATGCACCTTTGAAGTGGATTCAGATTCCTCCCACCCCACCACAAGCTTATTCTGTGAATTTGATTCCCTCCTTTCTCAGCTACACTTTCAACCCTCGGGAAACTGACTTGGCTATCCCTCTGGTTTTTGAGAGGATTTTGTCCATGCAAACCCTTGCAACCATAGAAGCCAGAAGATGTTTAAGGAGCTAATATCTGACTTTAAAACTGAGATGTTTAGAGAGCTGAATTCTGTGAACCATACGCTGCACTCCTTCTGCCCATCTGCAAAATGCATGATGGTCTTTATAACCGAACCCCCATCCAAAAGGTGGTTGTGTACAAGCAGTGAGTAACATTTGCTCTAAAAAATTTTTTTCTTGCATTTCAACTTCCCATCTACATTCCCCAGCACAACATATTTTTTATTTTGCTTTTTTTAATGCAGTTATCAGAGTTGTGAACAATAAAAATATATTCAATGAAATATCAATCTCACTCCCCCTAATAGCAAACTCTGGTCCCAAAGGAAATGGAGCCAAAATGAGACCACCCAGAATACAGAGGATGGTACTGGCCTGCCTCAGAGAATCCTGAAGCTGGCAGAAGTACCAAAACAAACAAACAAACAAATCCCACCCCTTCTAAAATTCCAAAACAACCCAATGAGAATGGAGTATTCTCCAAAACCACAGAATATTGAGTGTCATTTGGAAAAATAAAACAGAAAATGAGGGGTCAGGAGGAGGGTGCATTGGTCTGTTTGGGACCCTAACAGAAAAGCACATCAGTACTAAACACGATTAAAACCACTCTAAAAACAGTTAAAAGCATTCTCTTAGCCAGTGATTTTGGTTTTGCCAGGAACAGCCATCAAATGCCTGCCAAAGCAAGAATGTTTGTAGAATGTCAGTATTAAGGAAGGCAGACAAACAGGGGCCCACCATTGAAAAGGCCCCATCATAGGTCAGTGCAAACCAGGCAGCCCCCAGAGGTGGCACCACCAACAAGGCCTCAGCTGCCAATTGTACGGACCCATAATCTCTGGCCATTGGCCATGCTGGCTGAGTGGGTCTGGTGAGATTGTAGTCCACAACATTACTTCAAGGGGTACAGATTCCCCACTCCTGCCCTAACCATTTATACTACCTTGGAGGAGAGTGGGTCTGGCTGGCTGGCCAGAACCCTGAACAAGAGATCTTCTGTTAGAAGGGGAGCATACAGTGTGGCATTTTATTTCAGGTCCCACTTGCAGAATTTACCTTTATAAGGGAGGTAAAGGTACCCCTGACCATTAGGTCCAGTCGCGGACGACTCTGGGGTTGCGGTGCTCATCTCGCTTTATTGGCCGAGGGAGCTGGCGTACAGCTTCTGGGTCATGTGATCAGCATGACTAAGCCGCTTCTGGTGAACCAGAGGAAACGCCGTTTACCTTCCCACCGGAGCGGTACCTATTTATCTACTTGCACTTTGACGTGCTTTCGAACTGTTAGGTTCGAAACCCAGCCATAAAAACCAAAGCCAAGAACTTTAGAGTGACATTTGGTTTTCGATTCCCTAATGTAGACACCAAAATCCAAGGCAGACCTTTTAACATCACAGTAATCCAAGTTTATGCACCAACTACTGGTGCTGAAGAAACTGAAATTGACCAATTCTATGAAGACTTACAACACCTTATAGAAGTGACACCAAAGAAGGATGTTCTTCTCATTATAGGGGATTGGAATGCTAAAGTAGGGAGTCAAGAGATAAAAGGAACAACTGGCAAGTTTGGCCTTGGAGATCAAAATGAAGCAGGGCAAAGGCTAATAGAGTTCTGTCAAGAGAACAAGTTGGTCATCACAAACACGCTTTTCCAACAACACAAGAGACGACTCTACACATGGACATCACCAGATGGGCAGCATCGAAATCAGATTGATTATATTCTCTGCAGCCAAAGATGGAGAAGCTCTATACAGTCAGCAAAAACAAGACCTGGAGCTGACTGTGGCTCAGATCATCAGCTTCTTATAGCAAAATTCAAGCTTAAACTGAAGAAAGTAGGAAAAACCACTGGGCCGGTAAGATACAATCTAAGTCAAATCCCTTATGAATACACAGTGGAAGTGAGGAACAGGTTTAAGGATTTAGATTTGGTGGACAGAGTGCCTGAAGAACTATGGATGGAGGCTCGTAACATTGTACAGGAGGCAGCAACGAAAACCATCCCAATGAAAAGGAAATGCAAGAAAGCAAAGTGGCTGTCCAACGAGGCCTTACAAATAGCGGAGGAGAGAAGGCAAGCAAAATGTGAGAGAGATAGTGAAAGATACAGGAAATTGAATGCAGATTTCCAAAGAACAGCAAGGAGAGACAAGAAGGCCTTCTTAAATGAGCAATGCAAAGAAATAGAGGAAAACAACAGAATGGGAAGAACCAGAGATCTGTTCAAGAAAATTGGAGTTATGAAAGGAACATTTCGTACAAAGATTACCATAATAAAGGACAAAAGTGGTAAGGACCTAACAGAAGCAGAAGACATCAAGAAGAGGTGGCAAGAATACACAGAGGAATTATACCAGAAATATATGGATGTCTCGTACACCCCAGGTAGTGTGGTTGCTGACCTTGAGCCAGACATCCTGGAGAGTGAAGTCAAATGGGCCTTAGAAAGCACTGCAAATAACAAGGCCAGTGGAAGTGATGGTATTCCAGCTGAACTATTTAAAATTTTAAAAGATGATGCTGTTAAGGTGCTACACTCAATATGCCAGCAAATTTGGAAAACTCAGCAGTGGCCAGAAGTTTGGAGAAGATCAGTCTACATCCCAATCCCAAAGAAGGGCAGTGCCAAAGAATGCTCCAACTACCGCAAATTGCACTCATTTCACACGCTAGCAAGGTTATGCTTAAAATTCTACAAGGAAGGCTCAAGCAGTATGTGGATCGAGAACTCCCAGAAGTGCAAGCTGGATTTAGAAGAGGCAGAGGAACCAGAGACCATGAGTTTGACCAAACTGCGGGAGGTAGTGGAGGACAGAGGTGCCTGGCGTGCTCTGGTCCATGGGGTCACGAAGAGTCGGACACGACTAAACGACTAAACAACAACAACAACAAATGTAGACACCCATTTAAATCTAAGTGCTAAGACCAGCAACTAGATCGGATTGGATTCTGTGAGGGCAAATGCCTTCCAGAACAGAATTGTTTTCTCCATCTGAAGGGGGGGGGAATCAAGACAGCTGTTCAGGTGAGCCCCAATGTCAAATCCAGTCTATACGATTGAAGCACATGGCATCTCCCAAAGAATCCTGGGAACCGTTGTTTACTCTTCATAGAGCTAAATTTACCAATAGCCTTAACTACAATTTCCAGAATTTGGGGTGGGGGAGAAATGTGCTATGCCAAACACTGACACTGATCTCTGTGTCCACAGTTATTAATGCGTTGTCTCAGCGCTATGTTTTGCAAGCCAATGACCAAAAGGACCTGCAGGACTGGGTGGAGGCACTAAATCGGGCCAGCAAGATCACGGTAGGTTTGCCCAGTGCTTTGGGTATCTTTTTGGTGTTCAGTGGAAAGAAGGGGTCATTTTGGTTTCCTTTTATTCAGGCTTTAATCTGGTTGGAATGTAGGGATTTCTTTCCTTTCCTTTCAGCTGAATTATGTGGGCATCTTGGCCAGAATCCTAAAACATAATTGAACAGGTGGAGTGCATTAATTTGGGGGAAGGGGAAGAAGAGGGGTCTGCACTTATGGTACAGGGAGTACGTCTTATCTTTCTCTCCCCCCCCCCCCCAGTTACAGATAGGTAGCCGTGTTGGTCTGCCATAGTCAAAACAGAAAAAATTCATTCCAGTAGCACCTTAAAGACCAACTAAGTTAGTTCTTGGAATGAGCTTTCGTGTGCATGCACACTTCTTCAGATACACAGATTTCGTGTGCATGCACACTTCTCCCCCCCCCCCAATTATTCTTTTATTCATCCTGATTAGTTTGCAGGTAGATCAGACAATGTTAGCTATTAAATGAGCATTCATTCCAATTTGCTTATGGGGAAGTTAAACAACATTGCATCAAAGCAAATGTTATTCCACACTTTACTTTGCTGTCACTTACCTTATTGCAAAAAATGTGGCCTTTGAGGAAGTCGGTTTGTTGTACAAGACCTCCCAGTCATAATTGTTGAACCAATTTTTGCTGGTATATGACTGAATCCCATCTGAAAACACTGATTATCTGGAAGTGCCCAATGTAAAAAGGCAGTGTAGAAAGTCTTTAAATAGTAAAGTAAGAAGTAATAACAAACAGGTTCCTCCTCCACTTTTTCCTTAACAACTCACCCCAGTAAATGCAAAACAGATAGAACACCCAGGACACAAATAGGAAAAAGGCCCTATAAGCTGTCAGTATTTTATAGCCTGAAAAGTCCTGTACTACCACAGGCAGGGAGGGGGGCACCCACAGCACTTTGTTACGCTTCCCCAGCCATTTATTCTAGTTAAAGTTACTTCAGGAGAATTGCAAAAGCAACTGCAATTGGGCACCTGCAGACCAGCAAGGCTGAGCAATTTTACAAATTGCATGGATTTAGAATTTATTCAGAGTAATTCTGATAGGTGGGGTGAATTTGCAGGTTCTGAAGAACTTGAGAAATGTAAAGTATTGCACTTGGGCAAAAAAAAAATGAGAGGCACAAATACAAGATGGGGGACACCTGGCTTGAGAGCAGTACATGTGAAAAGGATCTAGGAGTCTTGGTTGACCACAAACTTGACATGAGCCAACAGTGTGACGCGGCAGCTAAAAAAGCCAATGCAATTCTGGGCTACATCAATAGGAGTATAGCATCTAGATCAAGGGAAGTAATAGTGCCACTGTATTCTGCTCTGGTCAGACCTCACCTGGAGTACTGTGTCCAGTTCTGGGCACCACAGTTCAAGAAGGACACTGACAAACTGGAACGTGTCCAGAGGAGGGCAACCAAAATGGTCAAAGGCCTGGAAACGATGCCTTATGAGGAACGGCTAAGGGAGCTGGGCATGTTTAGCCTGGAGAAGAGGAGGTTAAGGGGTGATATGATAGCCATGTTCAAATATATAAAAGGATGTCATATAGAGGAGGGAGAAAGGTTGTTTTCTGCTGCTCCAGAGAAGCGGACACGGAGCAATGGATCCAAACTACAAGAAAGAAGATTCCACCTAAACATTAGGAAGAACTTCCTGACAGTAAGAGCTGTTCGACAGTGGAATTTGCTGCCAAGGAGTGTGGTGGAGTCTCCTTCTTTGGAGGTCTTTAAGCAGAGGCTTGACAACCATATGTCAGGAGTGCTCTGATGGTGTTTCCTGCTTGGCAGGGGGTTGGACTCGATCGCCCTTGTGGTCTCTTCCAACTCTATGATTCTATTATTCTATTCTATGATTCTATGAGTTGGTTTAATTGCCATTCTCACTCACCTAGCAGAAAACAGGAACAGAAGTCCAGTAAGAAGAAAGAGGGGTTAGACATTAGAGTAGCCTTCCCCAACCTGCCTCCCCCAGCTGTGCCCAACATGTAGTAAAAATTGTCCTTACCACTTGCCAGACCAATGCCAAACCAATCTGAGATACCCTGGCGTGTGATAATTCTCCCCAGGGCATTTTACCCATCTACATGTGTTCTATATGCCATGAAAAAAATGGGCTGCTGTTAATATACCCTCCTTTCCATGGTACATACATTGATTTATACTGTAAACTGTGATCTTTGGATGAAAGGCGGCATATACATCTAATCTGTTGTTGTTGTTGTTTACAGAATTTGAACAAGCTTTGCCCTGTAATTCATGACATGAGAAAAGCAAACATTTGTTCCCAGTTAGCAAAGATAGGGAACCTGGGGTCCTCCAAATGTTGTTGGACTACAACTCTCATCATGCCCTGACCATTGACCATGCTGGCTCGAGTTGATGGGAGTTGGAGTCTAACCATCTCTGGAGGGCCACTGGTTTCCCATTTCTTTTGTAAGAGTTGTTCTAAAAACAACAACAACCTGTAAAAGAACTACCCACATTTTTGGTGTGATCACCTGGAAGCAGTGTATTGTGTGAATTTAACTCCCTGACGGAGGGGGAAGACACTCTCTTTTGCTTTAGTGGTGACATGTACCGTATTTTTCGCCCTATAGGACGCACTTTTCCCCCTCCAAAAATGAAGGGGAAATGCGTGTGCGTCCTATGGGGCGAATGCAGGCTTTTGCTGAAGCCTGGAGAGCGAGAGGGGTCGGTGCGCACCAACCCCTCTCGTTCTCCAGGCTTCAGGAAGCTCTGCGCAACCCTCGGGAGACTGGCGCCACTTCGTGCCCGCCTCCCGAGGGTTGCGCAGAGCTGCCTGCAGTCCCCGGGGCAGCGCAGCTCTGCCCAGCCATCCGGAGCGGGGCGCGAAGTCGGGCCCGCCTCCCGATGGCTGCGCAGAGCTGCCTGCTGTCCCGGGGCGAGCGCAGCTCTGCGCAGCCATCCGGAGCGGGGCGCGAAGTCGGGCCCGCCTCCCGATGGCTGCGCAGAGCTGCCTGCTGTCCCGGGGCGAGCGCAGCTCTGCGCAGCCATCCGGAGTGGGGCGCGAAGTCGGGCCCGCCTCCCGATGGCTGCGCAGAGCTGCCTGCTGTCCCGGGGCGAGCGCAGCTCTGCGCAGCCATCCGGAGCGGGGCGCTAAGTCGGGCCCACCTCCCGATGGCTGCGCAGAGCTGCCTGCTGTCCCGGGGCGAGCGCAGCTCTGCGCAGCCATCCAGAGCGGGGCGCGAAGTCGGGCCCACCTCCCGATGGCTGCGCAGAGCTGCCTGCTGTCCCGGGGCGAGCGCAGCTCTGCACAGCCATCCGGAGCGGGGCACAAAGTCGGGCCTGCCTCCCGATGGCTGCGCAGAGCTGCCTGCATTCCGAAGCCTGGGGAGACTGGCGCGACTTACCGCTGGCCTCCTTAGGTTTGCGGATAGCAGGCTGTTCTCGGGGCTGGGATTGGGGGAAGCTTGGGCTTCCCCCGCGCCAGCCCCGTGCCTGAGGGGAAAATAATTTTTTTTCTTTATTTCCCCCCCCCAAAAAAAACTAGGTGCGTCCTATTGGGCGGTGTGCCCTATGGGGCGAAAAATACGGTATATGGAACCCCAAACTTCTCTCTCTCTTTTTTTTTAAACATGATATTTATTAAAAGTTTAAAGATTACAGAAAGAAGAAGAAAAGAAAGCAACAAAAAATTAACAAGACATACATTACGATACATAAAAAAGGGGAAAAAAGTAAAAAGCATAAAAACCAATACAACAATACAACAATAAAAAGCACACATCCAATATTCCATATCTTTATCTTTCATTTACTTGTTTCATCGACCTCCTCACACCTCCCTTTTTGTATTCTAGTTTAATTAATTGTTTCAGCAAATTCGTTCCATCTTTCTCAATTTTTGTTGGGTAATTTATCTTAACAGTCTAACCTATTAATTAACTCAGCAAATCCTTTCCATCTTTGACTATATTCTGTCGTTCAATTTACCTTAATTTATTTTAACCTTATCTTACCATAAACCCGAAACTTCTCTAGCCGAGCCTAGGAAGCCCCTTACTTTAGGGGCCAGCTTAAAGAGATGTTTCCTTCTCTCCATGATGGCAGGTGTTTGCCACATTATATGGAACCTTGGGTTGAGGATGCCTTGCTCGGTGTGTTGATGGCTCTGGCATTGGGGAAAGGTGCGTGGTGCATCTTGTATCACTACCAACACCTGCGGTTGGAAGATCAAATGCCCCCTGCCTGCTGCCTTTTGACTCTCCTCCTGCATAGCTTACATTAGACCTGTTGCCAAGCTGCAGCTGCAGGGATCTAAGCCTGTGGTTTTTTTGTCCAGCTTCCTTGGAGACGGGCCAGTGGCTCCCCACTGATCAATAGGAACGGAAAGGCAGCTTGTGTGCCATACAGCAGTTACTCTCTGCCATTGGTTGCGTTTGAAGACCTAGAGGCATCTTCTAAGAGCATTGGGGAGATGTCCTTTGCTACACAGCCCATGTGCAAGTCGGTCAGTTTTGGTGTCTCATTTTTCTTGTCTTAGAATCAGGCCTCCACATTTTTGAAGCAATTTTTGTGTCTTTTTTTAAAAAAAACACTCTTGAAAATCCATCAGCATTTTTGTGTGAATTTTTCCTATTAAACATATTGTTGTGTGCAATTTTGACTCACACACACATCTTTGAAAGTAATTTCCCATAATAAAATTCATTTTTGCATGTTGTTTGCACTAAAATAGGGTGGGTTGGTTTTTGTTTTGGTTTTTTGCACACTTTCCCCTAATATGATACATTTTGTACTCACTGGTTGGTTGGAGTAATTCAGAGTAGTATGAGGTTTGCATATTGGTTCAAGATGTGCAAATTAGGTGGCTTCCCATTGAAAGGCAAAGAAAATCAATGCCCCCCCCTATCTTGGGTCCCAATTGCACTATACATTTAAAGCAGTATCATAGCTGTTTAAGCAGTCGTGGCTTCCCCAAGGAATCCTGGCGTCTGAAGTTTGTTGAAGGTGCTGAGGGTTGTTAGGGGACCCTTATACCCCTCAAAGAGCAACAATGCCCACAGTGGTTTAGGAACCAATCCCTCTTCACAGGGAATGCTGAGAACTGCAGCTCTGTGAGGGCGATAGAGGTCTCCTGTCAACTCTGCCACCCTGCAAGGAGAAGGGGCAGGAAGTGTTTTTTGGTAGAGCTCTGTGGGCATGGCTTATGCCCCACTTGCCAGAATGGTTGGTCACTGGTGCCTTAAATACAGGGATGACTTGACAGCAACTTGACTAAATTCCCCATATCCACTCACCCTGTAAAATCACTGTGCTGCTTCTGAAACAGGAAGATGTGCTCCTATTACATGCTTGTTTCCTGTTTCCCTGTCCATGAGGGCTGGCTACTTCCCCTTCAGCTGGCCAAACTTGACTTTCGAAAACTGGTTGCTGTTTTGGAACATGGATTATTATCTTAAGAACTGAGAAATGAATATGAAAGGAAGCCTTTTTAGATTCCTAAATCTGGGCAATAGTGGCTTCATTTGCATGTTGTGTTATGGTTAGGCATACATCTAAGATGTATTAAATGTGAGCACCAAGTGGGGGCAAAGTTGTGTTTGCAAATATGGTGAAAAAACTCGGAGTCGAGAGTGGATTTCATGCTCTTTATTCAGCTCATAGTGGTGAGGAGGAATGGAAGTTCCCCCAGAATGTCTGCTTTATATACATTATTTACACAATGGGCCCCACGTGATTGGCTAATTCTGGGATTCTCCTGCAGGCCAATCAGGTTGCGGATTCACTTCCACCTGGAGCTGGATTGGGTGGCTCCTGCGGACCAATCAGACTGCTGCATTCTGAATCCTATCGTTCTAGGACCAATCAGACTGCTGCATTTTGGATCCTATTCAATTCAGTACATAACATATGTGTATCATTAAAACACCAGAGGAGAGCAACCTCAGGCCTGGGAGCCAAACGTGGCCAGTCAGGCTTCTCTCTGGCCTGCTCATCCCTTCTTCAAAGGCCTTTGACTGCTCAAATGCTTCCTTGAAGTGTGATAATGCCAGGAGAGGGAAATGTGTGTAGAAACCTCTGACTTTTGTCACCATGTGGGCCCTGGAAGGTCTCGCATGTGGGAATATGACCCTGATAGGCATTTGCTAGGGTCAAAATTGCCAATAGCTTCTTCCCACGCCAAGTACAGGGTGAAGGTAATTGCTCTTTGCCCATCCCTGCATTACTCTGTGGCCTGAGGGCCACGTGAGACCCTCACTCTAATTTTGTGCAAGTGGCGGTGGGCAGGTAGGGGACGGGGGAAGAAGTTGACAGAAATCAACAGTGCTCTCCAGCCACTTCCAGCCCTGTCCTTTCCCTCTACTGGCCCCAGCCCCAACCCCCAGCAGCATATAGCTCCAGGAAGGTAAAAATCTGATAAAATGAGCCATTGATGCCCCTTTCTCATGTGAGTTTGTCTAATCCTCTTCAAGAGACACCTAAACTAGTGGCTTTGCTGAGAAGCAGAAGAAGGCAGTTGCCTTCATGCTGTGATGTGTCTGGTTGGCCACCATGGGAAAAAGAGTGTCTGGGATTAGATGGAAGCTTCCCTTTGTTCCAGCAGAGCCCTTTTAACCATCTTATGGGGAACTTGCATGCAGACAGCCTCTGAAATTCCTTCCATGTATTGGCTGTTTGAGATCCGCTCTGGAATGTTATGTACCGGACCAGCTGAGGTGAAGATCTGGGTCACGTAGGTGTTAGCCTAGTAAAAGCCAGTTTTACCTGCCCAGCCCACAGAGTACCTTCACCTCTTTGATGGAAGGTTGGAAAGTGAATCCTCCCAGCATTTGCTACCAGATTGTAGATAAGAATTTCTGCTATTAGGCAGGGGAAATGCATGTTGAAAGCCACAGACTCCTCCTGAATCTGATATAGACCCACATTTAGGTTTGTACTCTGGCCAAGGAGCTGCTGAGAGCTGCTAGATATCTCTATCTGCTTGGCACCTGAAGGGCCATGATGCTGCTGCTGCTGCTGCTGCTGCCACCACCGCCATCCCCCCATCTGGAAGGACTTTGCAGGGCAGGCATTGGGAAGGAGCAAGGGAGGCACCTGAGAGGAAAGTTCAGGAAATAGATACATGAATGGCTCCATATGCTGTAGAACCACCAGAGGAGACTGGGTATTGTGCTTTGCAAATCAAAGGTACTAATCCCTCAGAGAAAGAAGGTTTTTTTAAATATGGAGGTTGTAGCAAGCTTGGTGTGAGGACAACGTTGGAAACAGAGTAAGATACTAATTTAAGAAGAATGGCTGTAGAAATCATGGGCAGTTCTGTCTAATTTAATACAAGGGAATTTTTTATTAATTTATATAATGGTTACTTCAGTGCGTTTTAGAATTAGGCAGAGTGAAGCCTATTGAAGGTGGTGCAATTAAACAAGACTTGGGGCTCATCCAGACTTCCCACCACTTTCCCCCAGGGAAACCCAATCTTTAGCACTCAGAGTAAACGCCAATCAGGTTTTCTCCAGATTGACATTTGCCCCAATTTAAAGCAAAAGGGTAGGTTTTCCTGTGGCTTTTTTCAGGGGGAACTCACCGGAACTCATTTCTGCCCCCTCTCAGGTGCCATTCTACGAGAAAGAGGGAGGTGCTCATGGTGAGTTCTAGCACCTCTTTTGCTAGAAAAATAGCACCAGGAAAGGAGCCAGGGAAGGGGCAAACCACTAGGACCCATGCCTAGAAAGTGTGGGTCAAGCAGAAGTGAAAGCTTCTTTCACTTTGGGAAGGAGGCGTGAGGCTCTGACAGGGTCCGAGAGTCCTTCTTCCCAAATGCTAGTTTGTGCGTTCCCAGCTTTGGGAAGGAGTTGGGAAGGCTCTAGGGCCCTGTTAGAGCCTCACACCACCTTTCCAAAGCCCAGCCAGCCAGTGTGAGGACTGGAGGGGGCGTCAAATTTTGACCTCCCTCCCCACTGCCTGTGTGACAAGGCTGTGGTATGAAAAGTTGGACCAGGGCTGAAGTACAAAGACATCTTTGCTAGTGCTGGAAAGATGATACATAGATCCCATTAAAGAGTTCTGGGTCTTTAAAAATGTACACTTTAAAAATACTATCAAGAATGTGCAACACATATGCAAGATTCCACAAATCAGATTTTGTGCTGGGGTGGGGGCTCTTGTGTCATTCAAATCCAGCAAGTCCATCTGTCAAAAAATAATCGAGCAAAATAGTTTGATCTTAAAGCACCAACTTTTTTCTTTAGTACAGGTATATCATGCAAATAAATGCAGCCCATTATTTCCAGTATGCACCCCTATTTCAAAGTGGAGTACTGCAGGAATTCTACAAATCAGCTGGACTCTTTGCTGGTCTTAGATAGAGCATGAGACTCTTAATCTCAGGGTCATGGGTTTGAGTCCCACATTGAGCAAAAGATTCCAGCATTGCAGGGGTGGACTAGATGACCCTCATGGTCTTTTTCAACTCTATGATTCTATGAAATCCTTGCTGAATGGAATTTCATATACATCCTCAGGTGTCACTCTAGCAATTGATAAAAGCACTTCAAAAAAGGGTACATTTGGAGGGATTTAGAAGGATGCTGTCTCTTGTAGCGAGAGCCTGGCAGATTTTGAGAAGGCAATTGTTTGGTTTTGGGCACGAGACATAAGTTGTCCTTTTCTCTCTCTTAGGTTCCAAAGGGTGAAAGTTTCCCTCCAACTGCAGAAGTTGTCAAGCGTCCCTACAGGACTGAGATCATTGGTGGGGTGGTTGTGCAGACGCCAATCTCAGTCAACCAGGTGAGAAGGGAATGGCTGGTCAGCCAAATCTGTTGCTTTGGAAAAGGGATGGAGATGGAGAAGTTTACAGCATTTCTTTACAGCATTTCTACCCCACTCTGCAGCCAAAAAGGCCCCCAGAGTGGCTTACATAAGACCAGTTTAAAAGCACACAGCCTGTGCCTGCAGCCTTACAATCTAAGTACATAGCACAAAAGGAAAAAGGCATGAGGAGGGAAGGAGAAAATAAGCAAACTTGGGCCCAGGCAGGGCTTGTGGAGGCCTGGTGTACATATAATACGTAGGCATGATTCCTTCTAATAATGGGTTGGTGTCTTGACCCTGATCAAAGATCCCATGGAACCATGGTTTTGTTTCCAGAAGGGTAGTTGCATGTAATGATCTCTTTTTAAAAAAAATAAAATGATATTTATTACTTTTCCAACAATTTAAACACAACACTACAAAGAAAAAAAAAGAAAAAGAACAGAACAATACAATACAGTACAAAAACACTACATAACACTACACATTAAACTAACATAACCAAACAAAAACAGTTTAAAAACACATCAAACAATTTCAGTATCTTATCTTTCATTCACTTATTTCCACGACCTCCTCACACCTCCCTTTTTGTATTCCACTTCTATTAGTTGTTTCAGCAATTCCTTTCCATCTTCCTCTGTTTTCTATCCTATAATTATCTTAACACATTCTAGCCTTATTTTTTCCTTTAATATTCTATTAATCTATTTATACTTAATTCCTTATAACATTTCTACTAAAGCCATATAACTTCATTCCAACATTCTTCTAACATTCATTAATTTTACAGTATTTCTATAAATAGTCTTTAAACTTTTTCCAATCTTCTTCCACCGACTCTTCTCCCTGGTCTCGGATTTTGCCAGTCATTTCCACCAATTCCACATAGTCCATCAACTTCATCTGCCATTATCCAACACTTCAGTGTTTTCAGGAAGCAGCCATTCTCTCAGCCAGCAAAAAGCAGCTGGTTCACAACATAGTTTAAGGTCTGGCAGGGCAAATCCACCTCCTTCTTTGGCATCAGTCAATATCTTAAATTTTACTCGAGGCTTCTTGCCCTGCCAAACAAATCTGAAAACATCCCTCTGCCACCTCCTGAAACAATCCATCCCATCCGAAACTTGCAATGTTGGAAACAAAAGCAACATCCCCGGCAACATAGCAACACTCATCCCCACCACAGCAACTCGGCCCAACAATGACAACTTCAAATTTGTCCATATTTCCAAATCCCCCTTCGCTTCAATCCAATGTCCTTCACAATTATCCTTAAATAGATTCACATTTTTGGCAGTCACGCTAACCCCCAAATACCTCACTTTCTCAACCAATGTTAGTCCTGTCTCCTCCTGAAACTCTGTCAAGCTTTCCTTCTCCAATTCAAGTAGGGCTCTGGTCCTCAAATTCGTCTGTTTTTCTTTAAGTTCAATCATAGCAAGCGTCAACTTATGTTCATCAAGTTGCCTCTGAGGGGCTGGGACTCTCTCTCTCTCCAGTTGTGTTGCTTTACATTCAGCAACAACAACTTTCTCCCTGGCTTCATCTGCAATTTGCCATATCAAAGTAGATTCCTGCATCAGTTTCTGGATGGTCTCTGCATTGGTATTCACCTTTTGTCCCAGATCATCCATACCTTCTACCATTAAGTCGATTTTAATATTTACAGCATACACCTTCGCATTTATCATGTCTGTTTTCTTGTGAAGCTGTTCCAGCGAATCGTTTATCTTCACTAATGCAACCGCTAGGGCCTCTTCTGTCGACATTCCTCTTGATTTTGGGTGTACTGGTACAGAAGCAGCAGCCATTTGCCATAACACTTAAGAGATTCAAGGTCAATCCCAGAGTTTCACAGTTTTTTATCTTGCAGCTGGAAATTTCCCTAGCCCAGCTCTTGTAAAGCAACCAGCTTCAAAAGTTTCCACTAGGGGGAAACAGTTTCTATTTGTGTTAGTCAGTAGTGTCCTCTTTTAAACACAGTTCCAATAATCCAAAGTTAGTTTCAATTTTCAGTTACTTTTACTCCTTTTTTAAAAAAAACAGCCGGAGACGGTAGAAACAATGTATTCTCTTGTTTAGCTATGTGTCAATGAACGTTCTAAACGCTGTCAATGAACATTCCAAAAGACACCAATCCTGCTAGCAGCCCGTTTCCAGGGTCAGAGCGGCAGTATTTTAGCTCTCTTCACTCTCTCCTACAGGCATATTCAGTCCACCACTTCCCCCCCTCTTCTCCTGTCTCCAAGGGGGGGTTCGATGTGCTTTGCCGCTGGAAATTCAGCCCTTTATGAAAGGCTTTCCAAGACTTCAGCTTGCAACCTCATTGCCTCGGTCTATTTACAAAAGGGGGAGGCGGACTTCCTGTATTGAACCTCCCCGTTTCGATGCCAAATTAAATGTTTAAAAATCTAATTCTCCACTTCAGCTCTACTCACGGGTAATTACTTTGAAGTCAAATTGTCCACAGGAAAAAGTCAGTGCTCTCCGGCAACAGCTATGCGGCTTCGCTCCGTGGAAGAAGCAGACGATTCGAAGCACCGCGCCGCTCACCCCACGTCGCTCCGGATCCCCGAAACTGGGTTTCCCCGCAAGTAGGGGAGGCGCAAAAGGTGCCCGCCGAATCCCACGCTCACAGGCTTCTCCCGTCTGTGATTTTTTACGGGTCTCCACCTTCGCCGTGGCGGCCAGACCCAAATTCCCACGGGGCAAATTCCTCCCGATCAGAGGAATTCCGCCATTACCGGAGGCACCAACCCGGAAGTGCATGTAATGATCTCAGGCAGGCAAGCAAGCCCTGATAAGAGTTAACAAGTCTCTGGCAGTTTTATGGTACATTTATTTATAAATTACATCCAGAGCGTGGCTCCCAGCCTGCCGCACTTTGGTGCAAGTTGGTCACTCTGAGTCTCCGCCCCGTCACAGCACGAAGGGCGCCAAAGTCCAGTCCTTCCTCTCTTGCACTTCTGTTGCATTTTAACCCATTCAGCTCTTCTGGTTCGGGGAGAAGGTGGGTGGAATTCTACCCCCACCCCACCCCGCTCTTAAAAGAAGAGCCTTCTGAACACTGTTTCTCACCTGGTTGCATAGCAACCTCCTCAATGCCGTCTATCTCTTCCCCTCCCTCTGCCTGCAAGCTGTCCGAGTCTGCTGCTCTATCTGAGTCTGGAAACTCTTGGTGAAGGGGGGGGCGAGCTAACCCACTCCTGCTCTGTCTGCATTCTTTCATCTTCAGAGTTTGACTCTTCCCAGGCGTTCGATTCAGTCACATCCCTGACACTGCATTAGTCAGTCTTGTGGCAAAAGTAAGTCTTGTGTCACTTTAAATTTTAACACATTTATTCTGGCATATGCTTCAATGGACTGGAGTCGTCTTTGTCTTCAGGTGCAGATATATTCTATTATGAGTTGGGGGGGTCAGTCAGGATGATACCCTACATCCCAAAGTTGTAGTCCCGTTTATGTGGGGTAGAATCGATAAGAGGAAACTGACCCAACCAGTCCCTTAGTTAAGTGAATGGCTTTGGCTGGCCAGTTAATACTGTGATTAATAATAATAATATAAAATTATTATGATTTATGAGTCTGCAGAGGATGCCCTAGAGACAAATGGTTGCCTCACCCAGGATGGAGAGCAAGGGGGCACTGTGCATGGGGTGGGGGCCAGTGCTGGAAGCTGGAGACACAGAGACATGTCTTGTTCCGTGCTGGGCTTGGGGCTAATGGGGAAGCAAGATCTGTGGGGGTGGTGATGCTGCAATCCCTTCCATCCTGTGCTTGCATTGCCTGCATGTGTACACAAAACAATACGTCCTAGAAGACACCACAGTCTGTGCTGACTTGCATTCTAAAGAAACTGAACCCTGGGGAAGCACCCCGGAGTCTCTCACCACTCAGAGATTGGGGCTTGCATGCAACAATGTGCACATTGCTTTGGGTGGAAACGTAAGCAGTGAGGGCAATGCAATGCAGAAATTCAGGCAATGACCCGGTTAGCTGGGATGCATGCCAAAAAAGCACAACAGCCTCTTGTAGTTGCAGTGAAGGGTGATAAAATGAACAGCATGGCAGTGAGTCCTGATCTGACTCAAGAGTGGGGAAGCTGTGGTCCTTCAGATGTTGCCCCTCCCAACTCCCATCAGCCAGCAGTCAGGGATGATGGGACTTGGAGTTCAGCAACAACTGGAGGGCCAAAGGTTAGCTACGGCTGCCATGAGGACCTAAACAAAGCCCAGTAAAATAAGTGCAAAGAGCCTCCCAGTGCATCACCTTATTTCCCAAAGTGGCCAGCCAGGTGTTTCTGGCAAGTTCCAGGTGATGGATGGTGCTGGCGGATGCGACTGATGGGAGCCGGAGTCTCGCAGCATCTGCAGGGCTGCAGCTTCCCCACTGCCTGCTGGTACAGCAATAATACCACCCTGCCCAACCCCTGGGCATCACAAAATCTGGGGCGTAGCAGCTGCTTTGCCTCCTTGCCAAATGGCCTGTCATGCCTCATTAACTTGCCAGAGAAAAGTGTGCCACCCTCCTCTTTTTAGCAGTGTGTGCCTTTTTTAAAGAGGAAGCTGCTCATCCTGTGATGCAGGATTCAGAAGGTTAGGGAAGAGACTGGAGGAGCAGGAGTGTTTTCCTTTGAGCCATGACTTGAAATGTGGCTAAGAAGCAAAAAGAACACAGTGGTACCTGCCAAATAATGTTGCCATGCGGAGTGCCAGGAAGCCAGCAGCCATGTCTTCCTCTCAAAAGCACTTTTCCTTCCTGTTCCCCCTAGTTTTCCATTCCCCCCCCCAAATGCCTATTGGGCAGGTGCAGAATGCCTTCACCTTTACTAGTTGTGGAGAAGATGGAATTTTAGCAGCTGTAGTTTGCATGACAAGCTACACATCTCCTCAAATACGCTCTTCTATTCCTCTCCTATTGTGGTTTACTTATATGCTGCTTTTTGGTTCAGTGGGCTCCTAGTCATGAACTGCCTAGTGATACAGTGAAATAGGGGTTACCTGTGGGCATGTGCATCTTGCAGAGACCTTCCCTGGCGCCAGAGAGTCACATCCCCCAGCTGAAATTAGGCTCGAAAGAAGCCTTCTTTAGCCAACAGAAGCCGTCTTTACAGTTGGTAGCCAAGAGTTGCAGCACACCTGTGGTGCACACAACAGTTTGCAAATGTTCCCATAGGTCCCAAAAGATTGCCGACCCTTGCAATAGCAAATGCAGTAACCCAGCCAGATGGGTGGGGTATAAATAATAAATTATTAGTATAGTACAATTAAAGCGCAATACAAAATTACACACACTGTAGGGATCATCTATGCAGTTGTTGAAGATGCAGATTCTGTGTCCTTTCTCTCTGTGTCTGTCTTTTACCTGGCCATCTTAGCATTCAAGCAAGTGGTTCAGTGCCAGGAAGGACTATCCTGTGTGCTTTTGCTGAACATGTAGATTGACTTCTGGTTCTATATCCTAGTATCCTAATTACTGGCTTTGCTGGCCTGTGGTTCTCAGGCTGCTATCCACCCTGAGCCCTCAGGACAGGGCAGGATAGGGCATGAAAGAAACAGTGCCAACCAACCCAATAGGTACAGAGTACTTGAACTACAAGAGGAAGTCTTTCCAGCTTTTCATTACACCTGTTGCCAGTTGCATGTCTCCCTTAATTAAGGCTTGGCCCCACATGTTTAATTAAATGGCTTGGCTGTGCATATCACACACTCACTCGACCTCTAGATGCTCTGCTTCATTCTGCTGAGAACAAACAGCAGGTATCCATAGTTTCTGTGTCCAATTAGCAGACCCAGTTTAATTGCTGACCTGGGACTGCTTTGCACAAAAGTAGAATGAGATGGTAGAGAAGACAGTGCCACTTTAGACTGCAGGGAGATGCCATTTTTAAAGCATTTCTTAGTTTATTGAAAGTGTTTTTACCCCTCTCTTCAGTCCCAGGTCACTTTTAAAAGATGAGTATATAAGACAGTCCCTGCCCTCAGGCCCACAATCTAAAAGACAGGACACAAAAAGGAAGAGGAACTGTGAGACTGGGAGGTGGAAATCAAACTCAGGCCCTAGTTCTTTGTCATGTCCCGATGGAATGAAGTGGAGGAGCCAAATGTCGCTGAGCTGAGTTGCTTCTTCTCATGCCCATGCTGAAGCCTGATGGAATAGGTGCTGCCAGGTGACCTTTGATGGAAGAAGCCTCGATAGAACGGGCTTCTTAGCTGAGCTGACAGGAGCCCAGCTTTCAAGCTTTTCCTCTTCTGCAGCCTGGTGGAATGGCTGCAGCAAGGCGGCAGCTGAGAAGGACAGAGGAAAAGCCTGATGGAGCTGGCTTCTCAGCAGAGCCAAAGGAGTTGAGCATCTAGCTTTTCAAACATAGTGCAATTCTGCTTCCCTCTCTGAGCTGTGGGAAGAAGTAGGAAACAGGCAAGGAAATAGGCCCATGCAGCATGGCCACTGTCACCCTAAGGTAATCCCTTGCAAGAAAATAATAACAACAATAAAACCACCACATCAATGAGAGAGCTTCCAGCCCACTGCTAGATTTCCACTTGTGGGGAATGTTTTACACAAGGGAGCATTCAAAAATAATTCCGACCACATGCTCTTCAAAGAAGCATGCCTGTTGCCTGCTTTGCTGTCCTTCCGGTGACAGACAGAGACCTTTTATTTCCCCAGACTTTTAGTTTTAGGATGGAAACTGTTTTATTAACTGCTGCTGTTGCTTTGTATTGTTGTAAACTGATGTTTCCTCCTCCCCATGTCCAATGCTCTGGCCAGCTTGAGTGGGATTGTGGAGAATCCCACTCCCCAACCCACTCCTGGCTCTTCCCCAACATGGCACAGACACTGGGGAGGTGTGCTTTGTTGTGGGCCCTTCAGGCCAAGGGAGCCTGGTGCCCCAGTAGAGCACTTTGGCTACCTAAAATGTACCACACAATGGCGCCCAGTGTCTGCCCCCTTTTTCCTTTGGGGACAGCATTTATTCAGAAGCAATAAGCAGGCACTCACCCATGAAATTTATGCAGCCAGCAAAAGCCCACTTTCTTCTTTGAAGAGCAAAGCCTTTGGCTCCCATTCTGTAGAAGTCAATGCTGCATCAGAAGAACAGTTTGCTTTATTCACTCTCTCTTTAGCCAAGGGGAGCTTGTGAAAGCCTAGTGTTTTGTCACTGGCTTATTTTTCTGCATTTCTGTTAATTGCGGGTGAAAAAATTCATTTCCCATGTCACACACCACTTCTCTCTTTCTCTTCCCTTCCTTTCCCTCCCACTCCATGTGGCAAGGAAGCTGTTTTCTCAGGTCGGTTTTGTGCTTTGTGGCATCCTTAAGTGGTGGTGTCCTGAAAGGGACCCCATAATCCCAATTTTAGCCAGTACACAATAACAAGATTGGGCCAGGGCTCTGGGTAATTACAAACAGACCTTGCCCTGATCGTTTCCAGGACCAGTGGCTTTATTTGGAAAGGACCGCTTTATTCACCAGGTTGGGATGCTAGAGGAATTTATTTGTTTGCAAATTCCACTCAAACTAATCTGATCTGTAATTCCAGACTAATATGCACACAATAATGCATATCTGGATTTCACACTCCTCAAAATTTTGCAATGCAATTATAGCCTCACACACAAAACTCCAAACTGCTTATAAAAATGTTTATTTTAAGATAAAAGTAATGTTTAGAAATGTTTGAGAGAGAATACATATTATAATTTGAGTCTTCCTGCAATTCTTGTTATAAAGTTACAATTAAAAAAATATTTATATTAGATCTTTTTTTAAAATTGATTTTTGGGAGAGAATACATCATTTAAAGATGATTTTTTTGTGCAATTATTAAGTTACATTTAAAAATTTAATCTGAATTTTGTGTTGTTGTTTTTAAAAAATAAATTTTAAAAGTTTTGTTTTAACAACTTTTCCTGTCCCCAGGAAAAGGCAAATGACTGGATTATTCATACAAGGCCCAGTCATTCCAGGAGCTTTGTTCTGCCACCACCAGGAGCTGGAGTTACACACTTGCATTCCCTTTCATGCCCCAGCCATAGGCAAATTATTAAGCTGGGGAAATCCTGGGTATCACTTTGTATCCCATCCTATTGTTGCATGCACCCAGTCTCCAAACAGCGAAAGACTTCAGGGGTTCCAGTGCTTTCGCAGGGTTTGGTTTCCTTGGAATGAAGATCAGCGGAGACTGTGGTATCCTTAGGATTTATGGTTTTGTTTACAACCTGACCATAAGATGGAAGGGCTCACAGCATTAGCACTGCCAAAGAGCTTGCCTCCCATTTAGGTTCCCAGGGAGATCTCCGAACCATGAGCTTTGGGTCCAGCATGGAGCAAGACGAGCCTCTGTGCCGCCAGCTTCCAGCACTGGCCAAAGCTCACGCACAAAGCACAAGCTATTGCTCTTCTGCCTTACAAGGTGATGTTGCTTCCAGTTGGGTGAGGTGGGAGAGGAAGGTTACACCCATTTGTCTCTAAGGCAACAGGGCAACCTCTCTGGACCTGTAAATGGTGGCAAATTAGCTGGTCAGCTGAGGACACTATCTTGCAAAGGAACGGATCTGACTGGCTCAGCGGCCTCTGATGCTAGTTTTGAAATCTCCTCGATACAGAATTACAGGCCTTGATATAATCCCAACTGATGTCACTCAGTCCAAGGTCTCATGCCATTCTCATGTCTGAGTTAGGCTGACCGAGAATGCCTGGCCCTGAATCACCCATGGAGCATTGTGGTTGTGCATGGATTGGGGACTGCACTTCCTTGTCCCCAAGGCCAGCAATCTCACCACTGCGCTTGGGGTAGTGGTGGCAGACATCAGGCTTGCAGCATCTACATACCCCACAGGTCCACCCACCAGACCCATGTTCAAAATAGTGGTGCAGGTGGGGCGTGCTCACTTGAAAGCAGCAGGGAGTCTCTGAGCACATGCACACCCAGCAATTTGTTTTTCAGTATCAGTCCTTCTGCACAAAAATCAACTCCTGGTTTCCACCTAAACTTGGTTTGGTTCAGCAGCCTAATTTGGAAGAGGCAAATCTTTCAGTTGTTGGTATTGTTAATAATCTGGGAGTCAGAAGCCCTTGTCCGATGGACTGCAAACTGCTCCCAGCGCTCCCTTCTGCACCGCCTTGGCTTGGCTCTCAATTAATTTTATCCACATAAATGACCATAAAGAAGGGGCAAACTGGGCCAGATGCCATTTATTCTGGAAGCAGTGGTGCCATTACATGAGTGGATTTTGCAGACTGATGCAAACTGGGACCCTGGAGTTAGGAGTAGCAGGCTTTATCCCTTTGCTTCCTGCTTCCCACATTTTGGGAAAGAGCTCAGCTAGGCCATCTGCTCTGCTCCAAGTAGGACTGGGAGAGACCCCTGTTTGCAACCCCAGAGAGCTGCTGCCCATCAGTGTAGACAGTACCAGATTAAATAGACCAGTCATCTGGCTGGGTACAAAGTTCCTATGCTGAAGTAGGAATCGGCTGCTGTTTGAATTGTGGGGAAGAGGGAGCTCTCATTTATAGTAGGTAAGGAGTAAGGCACCTATTAACCTCCTGCCCCCACAAACCACAGTCCCAATCCTGACCAAGGCCCCTATGCCTGCAGTTTACATTTAATGACTAATTGCATACAAGTGTTGTATATAGTTTGGCTCTTGGGGTCTTGTGTGGCAGTTATGGGACTTTGGCAAAACAGATGACCAGTGTTCCTTTCCTGTCCAGCCTCAGTGGCAGCCTGATTCTTGGTGTGTGTGTTTTCTCCCTGCCCCCCTTCTCTCCTAGAATGGAGGGGATGGCTCCGAAAGCGGCGAGCCAGCAGTGCATCCTCTTCTGAAACGGTCCCAGAGTTACATCCCCAGTACCAAAACGCCACCTGGGCCACCCGTCCTCAAGAGCGGCTACTGTGTCAAGCAGGGGAATGTGGTAGGTCTCTGCCCTGGCCGGCCTTGGTGATGAAGTGGTGCTGGGTTTTAAAACCTGGTGCTTCCGTTGTGGGTGATGAAATCGTCCAGTGAGGCTCGAGGGGGGGGGTGACTGAACATGAAGGTGGTTGTGGTGACTCCTGGAGAGAATTCCAGGTAGGCCCACAGCATTTTGCTGCCTGAGATGGAGTACCAAACAGTGTCAGCTATCTAGGGATGGGGAAGAAATCCGTTTTGGTTCACATCTGAAGCTGAGCCCACTTAATTTGCACTATCTGAAATATTCCATACCAAAACACAGTGTTTCTTTTGAAATTTTGAAATTCTCTGAGTTTTGCAATGATGCTCTCTAGCCAGGCAATGTGCACAAAAATGCATGTACTCAGGTAAAGTGTGCAGAAAAATGCACATACATTAGTGGGGGGAAATGTGAAAGTGTATATTTGGCAAAGTTAAATAAAAACAGTGTATATTAGGAGAGATTTGCACTAATATGCTGATAAATCTTTATGAGGACTTTTAAAAATGCATTTTACAAACTCATGAGGAAATGTGGAGAACTGACCTGAAGACTGAGAGAGAGTGAAACTGAGAAATTCACCTATCTGTAGCCCCCACCCCACCCCCTCAAGTTATAGTCATGGTACCTAAGTTATATTGGCACCTGAGACAGCACATCTCATAAGCACCTCCCCTCCTCATCTGGCAGCAAAAATACATCAATAGTAAATTTAAAATAGCCACCAGTTTTCTGTCATTTCAAGACAAAAACATTCCACCTGGGACAGCTGCCACATCCTGCCTAATGGTAGGGCCGGACCTGTGAGAGAGCCTTTTGAGTGGATACACTGGCCTCCAATTCCCATCAGCCCCAGCCGGGACAGCCAACCATCAGGAATGCTCAGAGTTGTAGGCCAACAACATCTGCAGGGATTCCCCCAGTCCCGATATGGGTCAGGCCAAGGGTCTGGTTCCCATGCTGTCCTCTGCTTGTCCCCAACACTGACTATTCAGAGCCTCTGTACACAAGGGCTCTACTTCACTATTATGCCTGTGGGTGAGGAATCCCATCCCGAAACTATCCATTCTTGTACGTTGTTTTGAAAAGCTATCTAACCTGGTGGCAGCAAATCACACAGGTTAAGTCTGTATGGTGCAGAGAGCAAGATCACAGGCTCTTGTGAAATGTGGATGTTTGGGACAGCTGTGGAAGACTTTGATAGAATATATCAGCATCCAAAAGGGGTTGTTTCTGTATTTTAGAGGAAGAGCTGGAAACGGCGGTATTTCACCCTGGATGACTTTTCCATCAGTTACTTCAAGTGTGAGCAGGTAAGCCGAGGGCACCAACCTTTTTGGACCAGTGGGCACATTTTGCATTTTGAGAGAGTGTTTTGGGGGCCAGTCACAAAATGGCTGTGATGGGGCTGGTGCACTACACAAATGGGCTGCCACAAGGAACATGGCACAGCACAAAACTACAGAAACAGCCACCCTTGGCATCCTGCCCTTCCTCCTAAAGACAGCAACAGGGAACGTTCCTACTAAGAAGAATGTAAAGGTAAAGGTAGCCCTGCCTGTACAGGCCAGTCTTGACAGACTCTAGGGTTGTGCGCTCATCTCACTCTAGAGGCCGGGAGCCAGCGCTGTCCGCAGACACTTCCGGGTCACGTGGCCAGCGTGACGAAGCTCCTCTGGCGAACCAGAGCAGCACACGGAAACGCCGTTTACCTTCCCGCTATAAAGCGGCACCTATTTATCTACTTCCACTTAAGGGTGCTTTTGAACTGCTAGGTGGGCAGGAGCTGGGACAGAACGACGGGAGCTCACCCCACCGCGGGGATTCGAACCACCGACCATGCGATCGGCAAGTCCTAGGCGCTGAGGTTTTACCCACAGCGCCACCCGTGTACTAATGTACTGGTTGGCTACTCCACATTCGCCTTCATTTTTCAGAAATTGCTTAAAACGTAACTGCACATTTTACTCTGTAACTTTCTTTCTAGAAGGGCTAGAGCAGGAGTAGTCAACCTTTTTATACCTACCACCCACTAATGCATCTTTCTTGATGGTAACATTTCCTTACTGCCCACCAGTGCTCAATGGAAGGAGGATTCAGCTTGTGCCATAGAACCCCCTACCACCCACCTAGAATCCTGAAATGCCCACTAGTGAGCAGTAGGGACCAGGTTGACAACCCCTGGGCTAGAGACTTGATTTTTAAGTTTAATTTTTAAAAAAAGCTTAGAGTCAGAGTGCATCATTGAAAAGCTTTGCAGGCATTGTGTTCCGGCTGCTGCAGGAGCCAGAGTGGTGGCCCCTGAGGGAAGCCAGGCTGCTGTGCCTTTTGAGAATTGCCTTTTGCTCTTGGCTGCTCTCGTGACTGGTGCAAGGAGCCCAGTTCCTTCAGGACAAATGCCTGTTTTCCATTAAGCAAAAAAGGGAGGTTGATGTGAATCTGCTATGTCTGTGGTGGAAAACTGCTGGCCACAACTCCTGTGCATGGTGGCATCAGGTGCAGGTGTAGTAAAGCTGCAACTGGGCTGAAAGTGGGTTTGTGCTGCCCATCATCTGACCAGAGGTGCCTGCAAAGCTCTGCACGCAGTTTGTTTAGAAATGGCCAGAGCAGTTCCCCTGATGACAGTGACCTCAGCCGCTGGGCCCCCCCATCCACCTGCCAAAGAGCCCATGGAGGGTGGGTGGGTGGGTGGGAGAGAGAAGGGTCTGGTCGGCCAGCTGGATCTCATTCTCCGCCCCATGCTGTCTGACTGCTGTGAGGGAGTCAGGTTTGGACAATTGAAGATTAAGGTGACTAAATGGGAAGTTGCTTTATGGTCATAAGCACCAAAGAGTAATGCTGCTATTTCAGGCTAACGGTACATCCAGTTAAGATCCTTTTCTCACTATGGGCAGCCAGATGCAAGCAGGCAGGACATAAGCACAGCCATGCTTTACAAACTGTGCTCCCAGTAACTATTCCATGTCATGACTAGCAACCATGGAGAAGCCTTACACTCAGTAAATGTTTCTAACCTCCTTTTCAAGACATCCAGTTGGGCAACTATCACTACATCTTGTGGTAGTGAATTCCTTTGTTCAACTCAGCGCTGTGCAAAGGAGTTTTTCCTTTTGTCTATCCTGAATCTTCCAATACTTGGCTTTGTGGGATGAGCCCAAGGTCTAGAAAAGCTTCTGTTGCCTCTTTGTACAGCTTTGTACAGTTCTATCATGTATACACAAGCCCCATAACTTAACTTTTTCCCTACTAAAATGCTCAAAAGTTGTAACCTTTCCTCCCAAGGATGTTACTCTTGCCACCAGCTCCTCAGAAGCTCATCTGCCAACTCAATGGCTCCATTAACTGCTCTCGCCTAGATTTTCTGCTCTCATTGCTGACAGTTCAACTACCTGGCGTCTGTTTTGCTTGTCTCCTCAGGACAAAGAGCCATTGCGATCAATCCTCCTGAAGGACGTGCTGAAGACTCATGAATGTCTAGTGAAATCCGGGTATGGCTTTTGTTTCCAGCTGGGTTTTATATTTGGCATTGGCACTTGGAGCCAACTTCTGCAGGTTCTGTCTGTGAGGACCAGTGAGACCCAAGGTTTTGGGGGCCCCAGCACCTTACTGGAGAGATAGAGATAGCGGCAGCCCCAATTGCTTGGCAATTGCACAGGGATGAAAAGCAGTATATACCCTGTAAATATGGGACTTTAAAAAGAAAAGATCGCTGCTAAGATTGGTAGGAAGAGCTCTGTCATCCCTTTGCAGTTCCTCTCTTGCCCGACACAAATGGAACTTCAGCTTGTCTAGTCAGGTGCCTCATCATGGAATAGTTAAGGAAAAGGCTTAAAGTGGGGGGAGTGATTTGATTCAGAGGGGAATAGAAGTTTAAACCCTCTCTCACAAACCCTCTCTCTCATTCCGTCTTCTTCTTCTTCAAATTTGTATACAGTTCACAAAATAAAATTACAATATAAAAACATAAGATACATAATAAAAATAAGAACAAAAAACAAACCAATAACCCCCCAATACATTTAAATGTTGTTTTTGACTGGTGCCTAAAGATGTATAAGAGCATTCCACAAATGGGAGCCACTGCAGAAAAGGCCTGTTCTTGTGTTGCCGCCTTCCAGACCTCTTCTGGAGGAGGCACATGATGAAGAGGCTCAGAAGATGATCTCAGGGTCCGGGTAGGTCATAGGGGTAATTTACAGATTTATAGGTCAAAAGCAGCACTTTGCATTGGACCCAGAAACTAATTGGCAGCTGGTGCAGTTGGGCCAGGATCAGTGTGATATGCTCAAACCATTTTGTTCTGGTGAGCAGCCTGGCCACCAAATTCTGCACTAGCTGAAGTTTCCGAACTGTCTTCAGAGGCAGCCCTATGTGTAACACATTGCAGTAATCTTACCTAGAGGTTACCAGAGCATTGACGGCAATAGTTAGGCTGTCCCTGTCCAGATAGGGGTGCAGCTGGGCCACCTGAGCCTCGAGCAACAGCAAAGGATCCAGGAGTACCCCCAAGCTACATACCTACTCCATGAGAGGGAGTGTAACCCCATCAAGAGCAGGCAACCTCCTAGCCCTCTGGTCTTAAGAACCACCCACTAGCAATGCAAATCAAGATAATTATTCCCTAGTGCAAATAGGAGCAGAAACTGTAGTCTTTGGCTTAGTGTTTTGTCCAAATGGGGTTATGGTTTATTTGAAGAGAAACAAACTACCTTGTTCAGACATAAATTCTAAGCCTGGAATATTAGTTTGTGTTCCCAGTAGTGCTATATGGTTGCTCATAGTAACTCATGAATCTTTCCATGACATGCAAAGTAGGGCATTCTATCTCTCCCCCCACCCCACCCCCCATGCATCTATTAGCTGTGAAAAGAAGCACCAGCACAATTTGCGTTCCTTTACGTTCCCTTTGTGCAGCTAATACCAGCAGCTGGGTGTGTGTGGGAGAGAGGTTTGCACTGGGAACGGGTTCTTTCTCCTGTACCTTCACCCTCTTCCATCAGCCACAAGATTTGACTTGTATCTGTAACTTTGGGAAGCAGCTCAGGGCACCTTCAGACTGCTGGTATTTTGTAAGAGGGATTCAAGAGCATACCAGGAAACTTAGGTAAAGGGACCCCTGACCATTAGGTCCGGTCATGGACGACTCTGGGGTTGCGGCGCTAATCTTGCTTTACTGGCCGAGGGAGCTGGCGTTTGTCCACAGACAGTTTCCGGGTCATGTGGCACGGAAATGACATTTACCTTCCCACCGGAGTGGTACCTATTTCTCTTTTTTTCTTTTCTTTTTTTATAATATTTTTATTAATTTTTAGCATGCAAAAATTTTAAGACATACCACACAAATACATACATACATATGTCCTTGTTTGGACTTCCTCCAGCATCTCTGATAGCCTTCCGTCTTGATTATTTCTCCTGCAATTCTTAACTTAATATTGCCTTTACCTTTTCTAACAAATCATTTCTCCCTTTCCATTTTTACAATATTTCTTAAATTACTCCTCACAGAACTTCTTGTAGTCCTACAAACGTAATCTGATCATCACAAATACTTTTCAAATACTCAGTAAATTTAGTCCAGTCTTTGGTAAACCTCTGGTCCCGCCGGTCTCGGATCCTTCCTGTTAGCTTGTCTAATTCTGTGTAGTCCATCAATTTCATCCTCCATTCTTCTAATGTCGGTAGTTCTTTTTGCTTCCATTTTTGGGCCAATAATATTCTTGCTGCTGTTACTGCATATAAAAACAACTTACAATCTTTCCTGTTTATAACATTTCCAACAATACCTAAAAGAAATGCTTCCGGTTATTTAATAAAAGTGTATTTCAACATTTTTTTCAACTCATTATATATCATCTCCCAGAAGCATTTCACCTTTTTACATTCCCACCACATATGATAAAATAATCCTTCTTTTTCTTTACATTTCCAACATTTATTACTGACTTTATACATTTTTGCTAACTTAACTGGTGTGATGTACCATCTATACATCATCTTCATCACGTTTTCTTTTAATGCATTACATGCAGTAAATCTCAAACCTTCTTTCCATAGTTTGACCCAATCGCTTAACTGAATATTATATCCTAAGTCTTTTGCCCAATGAATCATAACTGATTTTACCTCCTCATCTTTCAAGTGCCATTCAAGCAGTAATTTATACATTTTTGACAGAATTTTAAAATCATTATTCAATATTTCTTGTTGAAACCTCGATTCTTTTTCACAGAAACCATTTTCTTTGATATCTTGTTTAAACACTTCATTCACCTGATAATAATGTAACCAATCATTAACATACTCTTGCACTTCTTCGTATGGTTTCAATTTCCATTTTCCTCCTTCTTTAATTGCTAATTCCCCATACGTTATCCACTTCCCACTCATATTGACCTTTTTTACACACATCATTTCTAATGGAGACAACCAATGCGGTGTTTTTGGTTCCAACAGGCTTCTATACCTATCCCAGATTTCAATAAGAGATCTTCAAAATATGTGGTTTCCAAATCCTTTATGGACCTTTTTCTTGTCATACCATAAATATGCGTGCCAACCAAATCTATTATCATGACCTTCTAAATCCAACAGTTCTGTATTTTCCAATTTCATCCACTCCTTCAACCAATAGAGGCATGATGCTTCATAATATAATTTCAAGTCCGGCAGGGCGAAGCCTCCTCTTTCTTTAGCGTCTGTTAATAGCTTATATTGTATTCTCGGCTTCTTACCCTGCCAGATATATCTTGAAATTATCTTCTGCCACTCTTTAAATATTGCTGCCCCTTTGATTATTGGAATTGTCTGAAACAGAAATAACATCTTTGGTAGCACGTTCATCTTTATTGCTGATATCCTTCCCCAAAATGACAATTTCAACTTTCCCCATACTTCTAAGTCTCTTTTCACACTATTCCACATTGGTGTATAATTGTTTTGAAACAGATCAATATTTTTGGAAGTTAACCAAATTCCTAAATATTTAATTTTTTTAACCACTTCTATACCTATCTGTAAGGGACGTGGGTGGCGCTGTGGGTAAAAGCCTCAGTGCCTAGGGCTTGCCGATCGAAAGGTCGGCGGTTCGAATCCCCGCGGCGGGGTGCGCTCCCGTTGCTTGGTCCCAGCGCCTGCCAACCTAGCAGTTCGAAAGCACCTCCGGGTGCAAGTAGATAAATAGGGACCGCTTACTAGCAGGAAGGTAAATGGCGTTTCCGTGTGCAGCTCTGGCTCGCCAGAGCAGCGATGTCACGCTGGCCACGTGACCCGGAAGTGTCTCCGGACAGCGCTGGCCCCCGGCCTCTTGAGTGAGATGGGTGCACAACCCTAGAGTCTGTCAAGACTGGCCCGTACGGGCAGGGGTACCTTTACCTTTACCTTTTATACCTATCTGTGGTTGCAATGTTTTAACCAGTTCCTGTTCCATATTTTTAACCAATATCTTAGTCTTCCTTTTGTTAAATTTAAAACCTGCCACTTGAACTGTTCTATCTCCTCTATTACTTCCTTAATACTTATTGATGGTTCCTCAATTGTTGATACCAAGTCATCAGCAAAGGCTTTTACCTTATATTCATTCCGACTGACTGTAACCCTCTTTATCAACTCATTCTTCCTTATCTACCTTAGAAGTATTTCCAGTACCGACATGAATAATAGTGGAGAAAGGGGGCATCCTTGTTTTGTGCCTTTAGTAATTACAATATTGTCTGTTGTTGTATTATTTACAATCAGTTTTGCTTTCTGCTCAGTATATATAGCTCTTAAACCATTAAGGAAGGATTGATCCATATCTGTCAGTTCCAAATTTTTAAGCATAAATTCCCAAGATATATTATCAAAGGCCTTTTCCGCAACTACAAAAATTAACATTGCTTGTTTTTCATTCCTGGCTGTCAGATATTCAATAATATTAACTATGTTCCTTATGTTATCTTTCATCTGTCTGCCAGGAAGAAAACCTGCCTGATCTTTATGTATAATTTCTTTCAGTATTTTTTTCATCCTGCTCGCTAATATGCTTGCAAACAATTTATAATCATTATTCAACAACAAAATTTGCTGATAATTCTTTACTTGCATTAAATCAGAATCTTGCTTCGGAATAAATGTAATATATGCTTCCTTCCATGTTTGAGGTAATTCTCAATTCTTTAATATATTATTCATAACTTCTTTCATTGGCACAGAAAGGATGTGCTTCATTTCTTTATAGTATCTTGCAGTGAATTCATCCGGTCCCGGTGTCTTCCCACTTTTCAATTCTTTTATAGCTTCTTTAATCTCTTCTATTTCAATTGGGTCGTTCAGTCTGTCTTTTTTATCAGTCAGAATTTTTTGCACCTCCTTTTTCCTCAGGAATTCTTCTATTTTTCTAATATCACTTTTCTCAGTTCTTTTATATAGGTGTCTATAGAAATCTACAAACCCTTTTCTAATTTCTTTCGGATTATCTGTTTCTTTCCCATCCACTATAATTTTGTTA